GACAAGTTTGATCCCTGGTACCAAATATATATATATATATATATATATATATATATGGTGTTCCATCATGAATTAGTCAATGGTTTCTAAAACTTGACAGCAAAATCACAAGCAACAAAATGAAAAATAAGTAGGACTACATTGAAATTTTAAAAATTGTGATATAAATATTATCAGGAAAGTAAAGATAAGCCACAAGAGGACCAAAATATTTATAAATCATATATCTGACATTTGATTAGTATCCAGAATATATAAAGAACTCTTACAAGTTAATAATAAAAGACAAAATCAGTTTAAAATGGACAAAGGATTTCAATAGGCATTGCTTCAAATAAGATATGTAAGTGGCCACAGACACTCAAAAACATCACTGGCATCACTGAACTGGAAACCAGAGCCACAGTGAGAAAACACTTCACCCCCCTGGGATGGCTCCATCATGACTACATAATGAAATCCCAGTAAAAATTCTGGACACCAAAGCTTGGGCGACCTTCCTGGCTGGTGCTGCCCACCATGCTGGGAGGGTGCCATGCCCTGGCTTCTCACGGAGAACACACGGCAGCTGCATGTTTAGGACTTTATACACCTCACCCTCTGCATCTCTTCTTTTGGTTAAGGCCTGCTTTGTGTCATTTTATTGCTATAATAAAACTGTATTAGTAAGCATAGCACTTTGCTGAGGTCTGCAGTCATGCTGGCGAATGATCACACCTGAGAGGGTCGTAGGACTTCCAGGATTTGCAGCCAGTTGGCCAGAAGAATAAAAGACTGGTGAACTCAGAGCAGGCCTAGAATCTGAAGTGCCCTGAGAAGGATGCGCCCTTAGCTTGTGACATTCAGCCTAACTCTTGTAGTCAGTGTTGGACTCTTATTGCGCTGAGCAAGCAAACTTTGCCTCCCAATGAGGGAAAAGCTACTATACCACAAGGTGCACTCTGCAGAAGCACAGATAGGCATCTGTACATCCTTTCAGCTCCTCTGGCTAAGAGCCGCTGGTGTAGAAAACACTGATGTTGGTGCTCGGCAGAGGTTGCAAGATTAGAGATGGAAGTGAACTTTAAAAGCAGGGTTTTACAGTGAACTGGTGTGGACTTAGTGACTGTTCTGGTTTATACCTAGATATTCCCCCAAAGCCTCATGTGCTTGTAGGTAGGCTTCTGAAAGGTGATTGGGTTTGGGGGGCCTTGCTCTTAGGAGGGGGGGTCTGCCTGGTCACAAGAAGCAGTGTGCTGGAGGTGTCACCAGAAGGGTATGTTTCCTCCCAGACCCTCCCTTCACTGTCTGCTTCCCATCTGCCATCCTGGGGGCGGCATTCCTCTGCCATGCCATTCTGCCTTGGTGCCAGCTGACTACAGACTGAAATGCAATAAAGACCAGGTTCAGGAAGTTTCAGATGGGAACAAAGATTCCACTGGCAGGTGGACTTGAGACCATGTGTGTTATGCTCTGGCAGAAAATCTGTATGCAGTTTGTTCATGTCTTGAGATTTTGTGGGAGACAGATTAAGAGCAGTGGTCTAATTTACCTGGCAGATGAAACTGCAAGGCAGCTCAACACTGGGGCTGTGGTATGATTACTATTGGAGGCTTTTTGCCAAGTTTTACGCTGAAAATCAAAAGCAACCGACCCATTTCAAAAGCTTTGTTTTGCCAAAAGAAACACCTGAACACCTGCCAACAACAACAAAAAAGGGAAGCTTGGTTGCCAAAAACATTAACATTAAAAAGAAGTCATGCACTTTGGGTCAGGACAAAAAGAAAATATGGCATAAGGGCATCTTAGGAATCAATAAAACCTCACACTCTGCAGGGTCAAACTTGCAAAAATGAAAAACTTTGCTTTAAGAAGAGAGCCTCAGGGTATCGTGCTCCATGGTGTCATGCTGACATTCAGAGGCCTCCGGAGTAATGGCCCTAGAAGGCCTAGCTATTACTAAAGCTGGCAGCTGAAGTTGGCATTGTCCACATACTGGTTCTACAACAATGCAGAATGCAAAAGCTGTGGGGTCAGGAAGGCTTCCACCCAGACTTCAAAAGGGTTTGAAGGCCCGTCAGTATGCTTCTGAGGGCAGGGTGTGAAGCTGTGGGAGTAAAACTAACAGTGCAATGGAGACCCCAGGAACTTGGGAGAAGCTAGGAGCATTGAATGTCTGCACAAAGTCAGCCCAAGAGAGAATCCATAAGAGCTACAAGCCCCAGCATAGTGCCATAGGGGTGGGACCAGCCAAAGTTTGCATCTCATGCCCACAACTTGCCAGGGGTATGGGACACAGTCACAGGATTTAATGTTTGCCCTGTTGGGTTTTGGTTTTGCTAGGCTCCCTTTCCTTTTTATTCCCCTATTTCCCTTTGAAATGGGAGTATTTATATATAGCATTCTATGCCAGAAGTACTTAACTTTTTTTCTTTGCTGTTTACAGAGGCTCACAGTTAAGACTTGTTTTTGGGTTTGTTTGTTTTTTGAGACAGGGCCTTGCTCTGTAGTTCAGGCTACCTCAGCCTCCCAAATATTGATTACAGGCATGTACCACCATGCCCAGCAAGTTTGCTTTGAGTCTCAGGATGCTCTGGACTTGACACTTTTAGCAGTGTTGAAAATGCTAAAATGTTGGCAACTATTACAAATAGACTAAATTTTGCATAAAGAGATCTGTGTGAATCTTCTGGGGGCCAGAGTTTGAATGGTAGAATGTTATGTTTATAACTAGATGTCCCTCCAAAACCTCATAGGTGAGGCCTTTGAAAGGTGACTGGATGAGCCTGCCTGCAGTTAGGAGGTGGGCTCTGACTAGAAGAAGCAGCTTACCCATGACCTTCACCCCCTCCCCCAGCTCCTCCCATCACTCTGCTTTTTTCTGCCATGTCATGGTCAGCTCTCCTCCATCATGTACCTCTGCCATGTTATTTTACCTTGGACCTGAAATGAGAGCTAAAATAAACGCCGTCTTCTTTAAGTTGTGGGAGCCAGGTATTGTGTCTCAGTGACAAAGTAAGACAGTGACTAACTAGATCTGTGGATAGGTGCAAGGGAGCGGAGGGTGAAATCCAAGATGCCAGTGATGGCTTTTAACTAGGACAGGTGACAGAAGAGGAGGAACAATCCTGGAGCGAGGTGATAAGTACTTTGGCCATAATGCAGGGCACCCACTGGGAAGCTCCCAAGGAGAGATGTTAAATGTTAAGGTAGCAGAAGAGGCAGATACAATATGAAAAAGGAGCTGCCCAGACTTTTAGTTACCATCAGACAGTTCCGCAGACCCAGCTAGAGTCAGTGCTTGAAGCAAAAATGTCCTTCAAGCCCCTGAAAAGTCACCTAGGCAACTGCTATCATCAGAGGCATCGTCCACAGCAAAGCTGGTAGAGAGCTAACCACACTGCTCAGCAGCTTGACCTCCGGTTAGTGTTTTAGAGGCAACTAAAAGTGAAGCAGAGGGTTTAGTTACTTGTTCCCTCAGCTGCACTATGAGAAAAGAATGGTTTTTACATTTTATAAATGATTGGGGAATCAATAATACTACTTGGTGTTGTAAACAGAACTGTTCTCTTGCCCTCAAAATGCTTATGTGACATAAAATTTGTTTTTAAATTTTTCATAATAAAGGTCCTAATGTGACTATTGGAGACAGGGCCGATAAGGAGATTATGAAGTCAAGTGGGGCCAGAATGGTAGGGCCTTGATCCCATCAGCTAGTGTTATAAAGGAAGAGAAACCAGGGGTGCACACGCACAGAAAACCTCCTGGTGAGGACATGGTGGGTGGGCGGCCATCTGCAAGCTGAGACAGACCTCAGGAAAAACCAGACTTAGCTAGTGTGCGGCACAAGCCCATAATCCTGGTGCTCAGGAGGATGAGGTAGGAGGATTGCCACAAGTTCAAAACCAGCCTGAACTACTTGAGTCAAAAAATAGAAAGAAAAGAATAAAAACCAGATCTGTCCCCTGCTCACATGCTGATCTTAGACTTACAGCCTCCAGAATGGTGAAGACTGTCTGCTGTGGCAGCCTGAGCTTATATACTTAGTGACACGTGAAAATTACATGAACTACAAGCTGGGCACAGTGGCACATACGTCATCCCACCACTCGGGAGACTGAGGCAGGAGGATTGCTTCGTGTTCAAGCCAGCCTGGGCTGAATAGCAAGCTCAAGGCCAGCCTGAACTGGTGAGGCTGCCTCAAAACACCAAAATTTTAAAAACATTTTTTTTAATTATGTGAATTACATATTGCAGAATCCATTAATGAAACTGCTTGGGGACACAGACTTGCTTACTAATTTATATGCTGTTCTGGCTACTTTAGTTGTGACAAGGTCTGCAAACTCAACAATATTTACTACCTGGCTATTTACAGACAATGCCTGCCATCCCCCAACCCCCCACACTGAGTATCGTGTGTGCGCGCGCTGAATTTGGTTTCAGAGGTCTGGGAAGGCGCTGGAGAACACACACACCTGCTCCTTAGGTAGGAGGGCAGCTTAGAAATTCTCCAAACTCCAGGAAGTCCCTAGCTTGGTAGCTCCCAGCTCAGCAAGTGACACAAAACTCACCAGTGAGGAGCTAAAAAGATCATGAAGAATGGCAGTGCAGCGTTCACAGTGATGCCAAGCAGGTTCATGACACAGACAGCTCACACCAACTCCGGGCTCATGCTGGCCTTGGTACTGTGCACATACTCTGTGCAAACCACATAGCTACCACATTTTTGCAGCTAATGAGAAACTGACGATGAATGGATGCCCCCGGTAGTTTCAGTACAGTACTCAGTCTGCCAAATTAAAGAACTATAGCCACACGAAGAGGAGACCTAACAATGGGATAAAGGGTATAAATCCTCATCTCTTTCCCAGTGTTTCCTGACTAGCCCACTCCTTTTCTATATTTGCTAATTTTAACTTTTATTTCTGTCATCTGCTCTTCTAACACAGTTCCCCATTTTTCTGAGCATTCCCACTCATGTCTCCCTGAAACAAAGTCAATTATCAACAGCTCTTAAATATATTTTTGTCTTAAGCATGGTTTACTAGAGACACAAAAAACAGCCAAATATTTAGGCCTCACAAAAACAATATAGTCACCTCCTTTTGAAATTCGTAATTCATGGTAATAGCATAAAAACAGGGAAGGTTTAGAAAGGTGTATCAACACAGGGGTCTACTCTTAGCAACAGGGATCCACTCCAAGACCCTCAATGGATGCCTAAAATCACAGGTATGGTTTATCTACAGTCAGTTTTCCTATGGAAAGGGTTCCATGATCTGTGTTTAACTGTTACGGTCCTTCCAACTATGGGCATCCTCTGACAGCTCAAAATCTTTCCTGTGGATGAAAACAGTTTCTGATCAGAGTCCATCCTTTAGGTCGCCTTTTCCAATTATTGCCCCACAATGCGTCCTCCCAGGCTCTCTTCCATCTTGGCAAGGAGACAATGTGGGAGGAGATGCCCAGCAGCCTTTCTCACAGGGGGGCCAAACTCGCAGTAAATAGATATTATTCTCCATTAAATGCCCGGAAGCAGCTGGGCTTCTTCAACTTCTCCCACCTGGCTCTGCTGGAGTCCGTTCCAAGTGAGGCATTAGAAACCTCCAGGAACATGGGCCAAACCGTCCAAGAGTCTTCACTGTGCTTCCAGTGGCCTGGTTTCATTGTGTCCGTTTTCATCTTGGTCTGGCATCTCTAAACCCAGGCGGCGCAGGGAGTGTACGAAGAAATGAGGAAGCCTGCAGACCAACTGGAGTTCCTCCTTCCTGAACCCCAGGGGAGGCAGGGTCAGCTGCCGGGCATGCAGGTGGAGGGGGATGTACCGGGCCTTTGACTGCTCCAGCCCCAGCCTCTTCAGGGTGCCAGCAGGAAGCTTCTGCACAAAGAAGAGACAGACCTCTGAAGGCAGGACCAATGGTCCATGCTTCGGCACACAGAGATGTTCACTTGGGAACCAATGCTAACCCCCCGGAAGCTTGCTTCAGGGACACATCTAAGAAGGGTTCAGAACCCAGGTAAGAAACTGTAGCAAGCTCTTATTGGCCAGTGCTCTGCCCTTCCAATAGGAATGGTTAAAATATCAAAGGGTAAAAATGATGCCATCATGGTTCAGAGTAGCATGAAAGATGACTTTAAATTTCAGAAAGATTAGCCTCCAGACAAAATCTAACTCAAACACATGAAGCAGTAAAGCTGTGCTAATAGATTTTAAACACAGTCCTTGAGGACAATGATAATAACTAACTGCTTCTGAATTTCCTAAAGCTAGATAACCACTATGGTACCATACCTAACGTCAATCAATACCTATGTGCTATGACTCACTTCAGGTGAGTTATTTTGTTTAATAAAACGAAAGCATGGGTTCTCTCTTTTTCTGATGCACACTGGGTTCAACCGTATTACCTGAGGAGCTAATTTGTTCCAGGCTGAATACTTGTGATCACCAAGGACTGGACAGTCCAACCCAAAAGACAGGTGAACGCGAAGCTGATGTTTTATTCCTTAAGAGAGAAACAGAGAAAAAAACTTATGAGGAGCTACAGAAACAATACCAGTGCCAGCATCTGCTTCAAATCCTATTAAATCAAATCACGATAAACTGGCCAAGCCCTACCTCCATAAGGTATAAAAAGTAGCAAAGAAACTATGCAGCACTGGCCTGATTAGGAAGAAAACATAAATATTACTTTAAGCAACCATGATTGTGAACTTGGTCCCTACCATTACTGGTATTTCATAATTTTACTACATAATGATAAATAGCATTGTTTTGTACATTTTTAAAATTGTGGTATAATACACAAAACAGTTCCCACTTGAACCATTTTTAAGTATACAGGTAAGTGACACTAGCTACACCCACATTGCTCTGCAACCACCACCATTACCCACCTCTACAATCTTTCATGTGCCCAAACTGAAACTCTGCACTTATTACATAGTGACCTCCCCATGGCCTCTCTTCCTCCTCCCTCACCCTCAAGCTTTCGGCAACCCTATTCCACTCTCTCTATAAATCTGGTCACTCTGGGGACCTCAGGAATGTGAGATCACACAGCATCTAACATTGTGTCTGACTTCACTTAACACACTGTTCTCAAAGTACATCCGTGTTATAGCATATGTCAGAACTTCCTTTAGTTCTTTCAAGGCTGAAAATAATTTTCTTTCATATATATTTAGCACATTTTGTTTCCTTATTCATCCATCAATGAACATTAGTGTTGTCTTCATCTTTTGGTTATTGTAGTTAATGCTGCTGTGAACACAGGTGTGCAAAAATCTGCTTTTAATTCTTTTAGGTACATATATAAATGTGTGTGTGTGTGTGTGCATGCATGAAAGTAGATTTCCGGGACCATGTGGTAATTTTTTAAAGAACCACTGTGCCCATTTTTAAGTAACAGTATTTGAACTGCTCTCCACCATCATCCCTCAGATCAGCATCACACACGCACAGTCATGTTGCACCCTCAGCCCGCCCACAGTGCCAGCAGCTCAGAACAAGACCAGAGGCCAGCAAGGGCTGGGGACCAAGTGTGGAAGCCACCTTCCCGCAGAACGGGGCACCCTTACCAGTCACAGGCTGGAGCTCCACGAGAGCAGAGGACACAGTGCTGCTAAGCACCTGGTACTGCGTGACGGCAACCCGGGCATTCTGGCTGGCCCGCACTCTCACCACCTTCCCCCTGTCCATGCGGTAGCTCGGAGATAATGTCATCTGAAGCCAAATAAACCAAATAAAGACATGACTTTTGAGAAAGAGCAGAAACCCCGGCTTCCTGGAGGCGCCTCACCCACCTTGTGGTGCTGCTGCTGCCCCTGCACCTCCTTCTCAATGATGGGGATATCCACAACTCCTGCCGACGGCACGGGGACACGCACAGTGACAGCCCTGGGTGTACACACAGATAGCTACTTCAGCCGCGGAAGCCAGGAAGCTGCCCTGGGAGCTGGCCATTGTAGAGGATATTGGACCTTCAGCACTAATGTGAACATTTCTTACGATTCCTATGCCTATTTGCAACATGATGAGAGGTAGCTCACCAACAACAAATATTTGAAATGGGTTACTGAGTTGTGGCTATGGCTCTTGTGATTTCTTTCTACATAGTTCTCTCCTGTTTTACCTACCTGGCAAGTAGGGCAGGCCTGGTCCTGTGTTTCACTGAGTTCATTCATTCATTTATGCATTTGTTCATTCATCTAGTATATGATCAGAACCCACTGTCTTTTATGATTTTAAAAAAGATGCCCAGCATGGCACACATTCTTGTAACTCCAGCAATAAGGAAGCTGAGGCAGGAGGATTGCCACAAGTTGGAGGCCAGCCTAGGATACATAATGAGTTCAAGGGTACCCTGAACTACACAGCAAGACCCTGTCTCAAAAAAGCAAAAAGCAAAAAAAAAAAAAAAAAAAAAACCATATCTTTCTTTTAATTACGTAACTATTAATTGGTTTTCTTTTCCCCCTAATATTCTACAATTCACAGGCATCTTTTTAGAAATGACAAGCTTATAGGAAATAGCCAACTCTCAGGGAAAGCATTAAACAAAGGAAATCACGAGGATTTTCAGGGACTGTTATGGTTTATATCTAGATATTCTCCAAAACCTCATGTGCTCACAGGTAGGGCTTTCAGGAGGTGACTGGATATGGGGATATTGGCCTCGATGAGCTCTTAGCTAAATGCGATGTTGGGAGGCGAAGCCTCATTGGAGGAGGTGAGTCACTGGGGGTGTAGCCTAGAAAGGTCTATCTGCCTCCCTCTTCCTTCGATTGTGCCCCACTTCACACCATGCCATGAGTTCTTTTCCCTCTGCCACACAGCTCTGCCTAGGAACCAGCTAACTATGGACTGAAACCTCTATATAAACTGTAAGCCAAAATGGGCAAGTGTTGGATATTGTGTCTCAGTGACAAGAAAAAACTAAGACAGGGACTCTCTGATCATAATCTATTACAGTGGTTGTTAAATTTGACTGACTGTACATCCAAAATCATTTGTGGAGCCTTTTGGTGGCACCAGGATCAAACCCAGGCCTCACATATGATAAGCAAGTGTTCTACCACTGGGCTACATTCCCAGTTGCCATTTCCAGAGCTTTTTAAAAATACAGATGCCAGCCAGGTATCGTGGTGCATACACATAATCCCAGCATTTGGGAGGGTGAAGCAAGATCACTTTGAGTTCATGGTCAGCCTGGGCTACACAGTAAGTTCAAGGCCAACTTGACTACATAGTGAGACCCTGTCTCAAAAAAAAAAAAAAAAAAAAAAGAAAAAAAAATATATATATATGGGAGAAGCAGAGGCAATCTCCACAGCCACCTGTTCTGATCAGAAGCTTTGTGGGCATATACATTTTTATTCAGAGTCTTGAGCATATACATTTTTAAAGGGCTCCACAGATCACAAAGTACCTGCAAAATGTAAAGAGGACTAACATCTAAAATATAAATACATGAATCAAATAGAAAATGATAATTGAAGAGGAAAAAAAGGTAAAATAAACAGTCTAGCCCTAGAAAGAGAAATTTAAGTAGTATAATAAACACAAAAAGGCAAGCAAGATCACTAGTATAAAATGAAGAAATAAAGTATTTTTTTTCACCATCAGTACAGCAAGCTTTTTAGAAATACTTTGGTCAGCATAAGGGGAGGTGAATACTCAATACTGACTGTAGTATTATAAACTGGCATGGCCTTTTGGAGAACAATTTGGACACTATGAAAATTTTAAGTGTGCACATACTTCAACCAAGCAATTCCACCGGTAAGAATTTATTACAAAAATAGGCTATGATTCAGGTGAAACTCATGTTGATATTGAACTGCTGTTGGTGCTGGGAGACAGGGCTTTAAGAGGGCCAAATGCTTCTCTGGAGGAACTGGCCTAATCCCAAAGGAATGAGCTCTCACTCCAGGGACTGGATTGTTATGACACAAACAAACTGTTACAAAAGCAAGGCTGCCTCTCCTGCTTCTCTTCTTCCCCAGCCCTTCTATTTTCTGTCCTGAGTGGAAGCATGAAGGCATCACCAGCATCACACCATGGACTTCAAGCCTCCAAAACTGTCAGCCAAAATGCAATTCTTTTTTTAAAAATTATACAGGCTCAGGTATTGGCACAACAACAGAGAACGGACTAAGATAAATATATTTACACATTCTTTGCTATAGGCGCTGTAAAGTGAGAAATTACCTAAACATCCACCTGTACAGTACCACAAAGCCACAAGGAGACAGCTGTAAATGTACCTCAGGAAATGCTCTTCAAAATACGTGATCCAAGCAAAAACAGCAGAGTATAAAAGAAGCAGTAGATAAATATATAGTCATAAAATAACATGCTTCTAGTACACCGCTAAAAACTTATGCAAGACACTGGTATTGCCTCTGAGGAAGGGAACTGCACAGACAGAGTACAAGTTTCTTTTTGACTCATGCATTCTTTTTCTATGGAAAAAAAAAACGGATGTAGATTTATATGCACTAACATGGAAAGATCTCTAAACATACAGAGTCAAGTAGCGGGAGAAAGGAGAATGTAAATTGTACATGCATGTTTAGATACACAGATACTATATTAGATGTGTGTAAATGAATTAAGGACTGGATGGGTAAAAACCAAACTGCTTACAGGCTGCTACCTCAAAAGGAGGAACTAGAATGGCGGAGTGGGTGGATTCTCAAGATGCTTTTTACTCATCTTTGCTGTTTGACTGTTATATTTTAGCACAGGAATGGCATATATTTATGGTACAATTAATCTTGATAATACTGCCATACAGTCATAATTAAGAATGATTATTTTCTATTAATAGCTTCTGCTGTATGACAGATGAACAGATGAAAGAGGTGCCTCTGCCTATACATGCTCTACTGCCACAAACGGGCCTCATACCAGTACTTCTTTGCCACTTGACGGGTTCTAAACAGCTCTTGGATTTGATGTGCTACTTCCTTCTCCCAAGCCAGCACCATTACACCTGTGGTTTCCTTGTCTAGTCGGTGGCACAGGTGCAAGGGCTCTGCCTTGTGGCCATGAAGCACCTTTGCCAGGATGGGCAATACTTCACTGATGCAGAGCCTGACTCCAGGGCCACCTAAGAAAAGAAAAAACAGAAGCCTAAAGATTTCATCGGAGAACTTTTCATGGGAAAGATTTCCTAACTATCAACTGTCAAAGTTTTCTAAAGTTCTATACCTCCAGAGGGGCAGGGAGCAGCATCAATATGCCCAGAAACCTTGCTTGCTGGGAAAGGATAGAGTCCCCAGTCTAGACTACTAAATCAGAATATGCATCGTAATAAGCTGCCCAATGGATTCATATGCAATCAACGTTGGAGAAACGCTGTCCTGTGACTTTCTCCTCATACACACTTCGCGGGTCTGAGAAGCTCCCCAGGGCATTACAGAAGACCCTTTAAGAGAACTGGTTTTGAGGTTAAACATTTCTGGCTCTATTCTTTGTACTCTCCTCTAACTAGTCATTTGATTTCAGACAGATTAGTTACCTTACCAAGTTTATTTTCTCATCTATAAAAGGTAAATACTGTGAAGTGAGAAATACTGTAATTGCTTTGGAAAATGGTAAGACAAGAAGTTGTTGTGAGAATCTAAAGTGAAAACAATCATGTGAAGCACTTGGCAATGCCTGCTTCACATTTTTTGAGGGGGCGGGGGGCCTGACACTGAACTCTGAACTTCATGCCTGTGCCGCTGCACTAAATCCCCAGCCCACTTGCTTTGTCTTTATGCACAGCCTTTCTCCATATTCCCCCAAAGTATTACCTTCTCCTAGCTGAACTATTCCTTTTTCTCTGTGACTCTCACAAACGCATAATTTCTACCCATTGTCTCTGTCTTATTAACCTCACTGTTCCTTATTATTACAACTTCTAATTACAGATAGTGCAGATTCCATTAAATTCTAGATACTCAGACTTTATGTGAGGTATACTCCAAAACACATGCTCCCCCATCTCGCATTTTCTCTTACATATTATTTACTCTTTTCAATTTTTGTTTGTTCTTGAGACAGAGGTCTCAGTGTTTCCCAGGCTGGCTGCAAAGTCCTGATACTCTGCCTCCCAAGAAGCTGGAATTACACGCTCATGGCATCACCCCTGCTTCCCTTTCCCAGTTTTGACAGAAAATAAACTGGAGGCTAACACCATGCAGTCTTTGCATTTCTCAAAAGCAATCCCTGTGCTGGTCTGCACAACGCATTCTAGGAATCGCCACTGTCAGACATTTAAATAGGAGACTGTCGTATTTATGTCTGCATCCCTGAAAGTGCCTTACACAGGATAATACTCTACAAGGTTTTAATTAATTGGAATGAAAGAGTGTCTCTCATGGAACACTTCCAAGTCCCCCTAGTTACAACGGAGAGCAGCAGCGGGTCCTTTTCCTTCTCACTCCGTCCTTACCATGGACAGGGAGACCGTAGGGCTTATTGATGACCACAATGTCCTTGTCCTGGTGGAGAATCCCTCGGCTCAGTGCCTTAGCAAGAACGTTGGGGTGAACTCGCTGCAGCTGCTGTGTAAACCGCACTAATTCTTGCACCCTCCGCTGAACAGGGTTTGTGGGCACCTAGTGGGGAAAAGGGCCGGTGGGAAACTCCTGGTGAGACAACGGTGGAGAAGCGGAGGGCGGCTGCATTAAGGCCTGGGTGGAAATGCGTAACCCACACTCAGACCTTTCTTTGCGTCGGCCTCGTGCCTTTCTCCAGGAATCTGACCCACGCGTTGTGTTGCATACGCACGCGGTGGTTAGGACTGCACCCGGGACCCGGAGACACCGAGACCCCACTAACGTCTTCCCTCTGCGCTTTCTACATTCTCTCACCACATACTCGCCACAGATAGCACCTGCTAGCAGAGGACCCCACTTCCACACCACACCACACCCCCGGCCTCGGAAACCAATGAGCGCACTGCCTTTTGGGAGTTGTGGTCCTTCCAGGCTCACCGGCTTCTCCTTTTCTTCCCTTTTCTGGGCTCGGAGTTTCTCCGCTAATCCCTGGGCATCCAAGGGCCTGGATGCAGCAGCATTAGAACGAAGTGGTTTTGAAACGAGAGTGAAGAGACTCCTCAAGAGCGGGCAGGAACCCCGGATCAAGAGGCCAGGCGCACGACACCTGGGCGCCGCCATCTTGCCAAGGGAGGGGCAACCAAGATCACGTGAGGGGGTACGGAGCTCCGCGGGTCACGTGAGGGGCGGGGCCTGGTGCGTCACGTGGGCGGTGCGCGCTCTGTGCGGCTGCGCTGACCGGTAGCTGCAGCTGGACCGGTGGCGTTTGGAGGAGACGCGGTGAGTGTGTCAGGGGAACAGGGCTGGGGCTGGAAAATGCCGGTTCCTCGAGGTTTTCTGCCTCCACGAGATTTCCGTTCTGGGCCACCCCTGTCCAGGGAAGCATTGCCCCCTGCGGGACACAATCTCACTCAAAAACACTTCCCCACCCCCGCGTCTTCTTAGAAGCTAAGCCCCACAGACTCGTGTCCCAGAGCCTTCTCGGTACCTGGCTCGTCCCCCTTGGCAACCACGTCCTTGGCCGGTCCCCTGAGGGACGTGTTGGGGCCTCTCCTGTTTCTTTACGGCTCGACCTCCGGAGATACTTGGTTATCTGCCCTCTCTGCCCCTCATCTTCTGACTCACAGCCTCTTTGTTTCTCGCTGTAAACTGTTCTGTCCTGCCAGGGATGGTCACCCCTTCTTTAATTCATCCGGCCTCTTAGTTCCTAGCTAGGGAGCATTGCGGGTCCCTTCTGTGCTTCAGAACTCATTTCTTGTCAAAGAAAAAGGCTTCAAAGTGCAGAGGACAGACCCCTGCTCGTTCTGCTTTTTTATCCCTCCGCCTTTTTATAGTTTGCAACTGCCCCAGAGCTTCTTCGTCTTTTTAAAGACGCGAAATGGAAGCGCTCGTGCCCAAAGTGCAAGCGACTCCCTCTCGTTTCAGGAAAGAAAGGCTGAGCAGAAGAAACAGCTGTTTGAGATGGTAATCTAGTGTTTTGGGATACACAGGGCTGGTTTTAAAGACAGCTAATGATGAAAGACCGACACCCTGAAGGATCTTTAGTGATGGCAGAGGGATGATAGCATGGGCCACCTGAGGAGTTAGTAAGTAGTTGAATTAGGTGTAGGTCTTGCTCCAAAAGCGATTGGCACAAAGGAGCCACGTAGAGCCTGAGACAAAATTGAACAGTTGGAGCTAACCTAAAGAGGACTAAGTTGAAGAGTTTAAACTATACTGATAAGTAGTTGGCAGGCTTTGAAGCTTTCTTGAGAGGCTCCTTTAAACTGGAATTCTAGAAATGAATCTAGCAATCAATTGCATTCGAAAAGGAAAAAATTAGCAGGGAAACCAGCTGGGATGCCGTAGTCTAGGTGATCAATAGTGAGATCATGCCCCATTCATTGGTCTTTTCCTCCAACAAAATACAAATCTTAAAATTTGAATTACAAATTATCCAGGTCGGGGGCTGGGGATTTAGCTCAGCAGCATAAGCGCCTGCCTTGCTAACAGGCAGTCATGAGTTCGATCCCAGGTACCGATAAAAAGGAAAAAGACAAAAAAAAAAAAAAAAAAAATTTATCCAGGTCAATATCTACCAGTAGTAGCTGATGTTAAGGACTGTTTTTTTTTCCTTAACCCTCATACTTAGTAACAAATATTTGTTAGATGACTCGAGATGTTTCTGAACATATTGATTTGCTCTACTTGTGTCATTTTTTTACCTGAAGAATGAAAGTAGGGGTAAATACATTTGTAGAGTTGGAAAGATGTTTCTGTAACAAAATAGGTGATCTGCACATAAATGCAAAGAAGTCCAAGGCATATTGAGAAACTACCTGTTTCTTCTGTCCTCCTCCATTCACAGATAGGTTATAGATCTGTAAAAGTTGAGACGTTTCATCCTAAAAAAGTCACTGCCTTTTACTTACATGCACCGGTCTCAGTTCTGGTTTCACTACCGTTGCACATCACTTGTTACTTAGTTACACAAAGGCCTCTTTTCCAAGAACTGAAATTTAGACATCAGAACGTTAAGTTCAGATCATTAAATGCAAACCTGTTTGGAGTACAAGACTCTTATGGTTTGGGTAGCGGTGCTAGGAGAACCTATTTCTGCCTTCACTTCTGATGACTTTCAAGAAACAACACTTGCAGAAATTGCTGGCTGTGTCAAGAAACAAAACCAGGATCCAACTCGGATGTCATTGCTAGTGACCCAGAGCTTGTGTTCTTGGATTTCAGGTCAAGCCAAGGCACACACTATTATGTGAGAATAAAAACACTTTTTCTCTGAAGAAGGAACTTTTGAGTTGTTTGGTTTGGTTTTGGTTTTGCTGAAACTTTGTAAGAAAAATGTATAGAATTGAAGTATTTTATTTGCTGTTGCTTTATAGCTTTAGTCACTACGGGAACAAGAATTAAAACTTCCTTAATGTTTTTCCAGTGAGTCTCTGTGCTTAGTGGTTTAGAGCTGCCCTCTTAAGTGTAAAGAATTTATGCAAATGTTTTTTTTTTTCCTTTTTTGTCTCTATAGAGTGCCTTCCTCTTCCACTGAATGCTATTTTAGGCATTGGGTCCTCCTGTGTGAGCAGATGTATACGGGGGTGGGGTTGCTGCTGGGAATTTGAACCTGAGACCTTGCCTGTGCCAGGCAGCACTTTACCACTGAGCTACTGTATGTCCCCAGCTCTTTCCTTTTTCTATTTCTGCGCCAATCTCACATTGTCGTTTTAGTTAGGGACGCCTCTTACCTGAATAGCTGGTCTCAGTACCAGGAGAGAAATTCCATTCATGGGTCTCCAATCTTACAGGATACAGCTTTTTTCAAATGTGGCATATTTTTATATGGATTCTGATGTTACAATATGTGCCTTCAACATAATTATGTAAAGAAGACTGGATGCTTTGCTTTGAAGGATATTTTCTACTCTGTGCAAGAATAGAAAGGCTTCCTTAGTATTGCACAAATATAAGGAATGAAGGAACTTGTATATAAATTCATAAATTTAAGGAATTGTGGCTCTTCAATGATGTTCTAGTTGCAGATTAACCAAAGATCCTACTTCCCTGAAGAACAGGAAGTACTTGGACATTGTTTTATGGTTTTAGATCAAAGAAGCAGTTAGCGGGAACTTTCTGGGGTGTCCTGGAAAGTATTTGTGAGCAAGGAGGCCTGGGGATTAGTCCTGTTTCAGTGGTTATAAATTTGAGCAAGTATTTGGTTTTAGATTTTGTCATTCAGCGCTTTACAACTCTTAAAACTCCTGTGATAAGATTTTTCCAATGACACCTCAATACATTAACAGAAGAACTTCTTCAAACTTAACAGGAATGCATTTAGCATTGATACAAAGAATCTGGATTCCACCTCTATTCCCTGAATTTAACTTTATGCCACTGAGCTAATATTTATATTTGGAATTGATTTCATTGACTGGTTAAGATTTCTTTACGCAGAGTGTGTGAGGAAGGTGCAGATAGAAAAAATATTAGGGAACTGTGGGGTATAGCTTAGTAGTAGAATGTGTTTGAGACCTTGGTTTCATTTGCTGCACCAGGAGGAAAAAAAAAGGAGAGAACAATGTAGACCTACAACTTAGGTATTAGTTCTTTTCCTATACTTGCATTTTAAAGAAATTTCAGTTTACTGTTGCATTTTATACTTAGCTTTGGAATAATGATCAAGACAGATCTATCTTAAACCAATGGTTCCCAGATTTTTTTCATTTCATGACATATATGAAAATAACTGAATCATTGGCAAAAGCTGGAGGTGCCCACAGAGGACACCTTGCTTGGGCCCTCTGCCTATCCCCAGCCCTGCTCTGACAGCAAGCAGAAGGCAGAGAAAGAGACAGAGACAGAGACAGACACATCCTACCTTGAAGCCCATCTAACCCTTAGAAAGCTTAGCTCTGTGCATCTAGTACCTTTGTCTAAAACTCCACCTGGCTGCGGAAAGGAACTCTGTTACTGATTATTTTAGTTAAATGGATGCTACACTTGGATTCACGATTATGTTCCTTTATACTCCTGGCTTGTTTATAAGGGTCTTAACCTGTCCTTGCACAATGGCCTATCTAAAAATGTAAATGATAGCTGATAAAGAGGTGAGAAATACTTTCACCATGATATTACTGGTTTTTGTTTTCATTTTGAGACTGGGTCTCACTATGTAGTTCATGCTGGACTTGAACTCACCAAATAGCCCAGACTGGCCCTGAACTCTCAGCCATCCTCTGGCCTCAGCATCCCTGAGTGCAGGCGTTGCAGGCGTGCACTAACACACCTGGCTCTGCCGTGGTGTTTTGACCCAATTAGATTATGGGTGCTCTTGGTTAGGCCTATTTAAAACCAAATTAGAATCATCCAGAGCCAGAGATCATTGTATAAGTAATATGTGCAGTTTTTAGTTTGTTTCATGTGTTCTGTTATAAAAGTAATACTTGAAACATGAAAAAGAGAAAAAAATAGAATGGGGGAAATAATTTATAGTTCTGCTTTCCAAATATGTTGATATCATAGTTTCTCTCCAGTCTTTTTTATGTAAATTTCAATTATGTAAATTTTCAAACATTTACAGAAGCAGAAAAAATACTGTTAGGAAGCCCATATTCCCATCAGCTACCTTCTCCAGTTAATCAACCCAGGACCAATCTTGTTTGTTAGGCACCCTACACCCCAGATTTGACTCCTAGAATACGTTTGGGTTTTGAATCAAATCCCAAATGTATTCATTTGTAAAAAACTTCATCGTCAATTTATAAAGGTAAAGGCTTCTTTTTAATATAATCACAATTATTACACATTAATATAATCACATTATTACACTTTACAAAATGTATTATTAAGATCACCAGGCAGCTAGTCAGTGCACAGATTTTCTTGTTTGGAGCTTTTAAAAAAAAAAAAAAGTTGCAAATGTGATTTAAGATCCACCATCTATTTTGGAAGCACTTGAGGATTGAGTTAAAGCACCTTAAAGTGCTCCCTGCATATAGTATAGCATCAGCTACATAAATGTCAGAAAATTGCAAATGGACTCCTATCGAGAGGTAATGGAACTTAGTCTAATTCTGTCGCTTTTGTGATTCATTTCAAAATTTTGGAACTAACTGGGTGTGGTGACACCTATAATCTCAGCACTCAGGAGGCTGATGTCAGGATCACTGTGAATTAGAAGCAAGCCTGGACTGCCAGAGACCCTGTCTCAAAAAAAAACAAAAAAAGAAAATAAAAATAATTGTCTCAAAAAGACACAAAAGAAGTTTTGGACCTTAAGTTTCTTACCCAGAAAA